GTCTTGATCATGAAGGGATGTTGTATCTTATCAAATGCTTTTTCTGCATCAATTGATATGATCATATGGTTTTTATCTTTTTTCCTGTTAATATGGTGTATTACATTTTTGGTTTTGCATATGTTGAACCAACCTTGCATTCCTGGAATAAAGCCTATGTGACCGTGATGTATAATCTTTTTTATAAGTTGTTGGATATGATTTGCTAGTATCTGGTTGAGAACCTTTGTGTCTATATTCATCAGAGATATTGGTCTGTAGTTTTCCTTCCTTATCCTGTCCTTATCTGTTTTAAGGATAAGGGTGATGGAGGCATCATAGAATGATTTAGGGAGAGATTCAGCCTTTTGGACCTTTAGAAATAACTTCAGCAGAATGGGGATTAACTTTTTTTAATTTAAATTTATTTATTTACATTCATTCACTGTGCATCATTACAGCATACAAAATGAGATTTTCCATCCAGAATACACTGTATATTGGCTCAATCAAGCACATCAACATACGTGTTATCATCAACTAATAATTTTCCATTTCTTGTTTCCTGTATATTTTGCTTTTTTCCCACTCCTGATTCCCTATCTCTCACCCTCTGCCATCTCCCACTCTCCTCCCACACTCTCTGGTATCTATGGTTGCTTTCTATGCCTCCCCCCACACACACATTTTACTGATTCACTAAAGATCTTAATTAATCTAAATATTTTGATTAGCAAGAACAGCTGATATGTACATATCCATGAACACAAGTCTGACTTTAGGCATAAACCTCAGTGAGTAGAATGAACATACTATAAAGTAGCACCTAGCTGGGGCTATATAGCTTACTGCAGTCATCAAATAGGTATTTTAATGCATTTTCTTAATTTCAAGGAAAACCCTTTTAGGTTCTTCTTTTTCTGAAACTTTTTAAAACTTAGTTAATTTACATTCATTCCCTAAGCATCTTCACAGCATACAAAATGTGATTTCCCCAGAATATACTGCATAGTGGCTTAATCATGCATGTTATCATCAAAAATTTTCCAATTCTAGTTTCATATATATATATATAATTTTTTACCCCTATTTCTGACCCTCGGCCCTTTCCCACCCTCCTCCCACACTATCTCTGGTGTCTACAGTTGTTTTCCATTCCTTCCCCCACGTTTTATTGATCACACAATTTCTTATATAATCTAACGAGCTTTTCAGTGGCAATGGCCTCCTGATTGCTTTTTCACTACATCTGAACAATAATACAACCTACATTTAAAAATAACCCCTTCCTAGTCCATGGTGCTCCAAGTGACATGGAGGCCATCTGAAACCGCACTCATGTCAAGAGCATCCCACGTACTGCCCCGCCCCAACCCCTGTCCTATTCCTGCTCAGCCAGCTCTTCTGGAATAGCCCAAGCATGGGCTTTGCTCTTTCCAGCCACCATTCCTTCCTTCTCCATCTTTTCTTTCTTTCTCTTTCTCTCTCTCTCTCTTTCTTTCTTTCTTTCTCTCTTCTAAATTTGCAAGAAGGTGCATGCATTTGCTGGAGAGGGAGAGAGAGTGAGCGGGGAATGGTCACTAACTATCACTTCTCTTCCATTTCTCCCTCTTTTTGGAAGTTTGGTCATGCACGGACATATGCCCAGCATGTTTCTCAAGCTTCTGGGTCTGGGACTTGAACGATGCAGCTGGCCATTTGGGATCCAGCTGCCTTAAGTACAATTCCATGGCCCAGTCTCCTTGTCTACTTCTAATGCCATGTCCACTTCAACTCCACCCGTCTTGGCCAGTTCAGCTCTAGGCCCTGCACCCTCACTTGACTCAGGTTATTTTCAGTCCTCCCAACTACCCTACTCGGTTATCGCTGCCATTTGGGCCAGGATGGCAGTAAGAGCCAGACAGGTGCAAAACAGAAATTCTAGTATGATACCAAAAAACTCAGAGAGAAAAGGTCAGCCTCTGGGCCAACCAGTGATATGTTGGTTAGGGTGACTGGATCCCACATGGCTGACTGTGTGGTTTGAGTCCCAGACCTGGCAACTTGAAAAACATGCTGGGTGTGTGTACAGGCATGCCCAAAATCTAGAGAGGAGAATGGAGGAGAAGGGATTATGGTGTGACCATTCCACCAGTGCGGGGATTTCTCACTTTCCTTCTTTCTCCCTCTCTCTCTGCTGAGCATACATGCCCTACAACAAATTAAAAAAAGAAAAAGTCAACTTCATCTTCCAGACACTGCTTCTCCAAAGAAGGAGCCTGTATTTTTTTTTTTTTTTTACTATAGGGTGCATGTGCTTTCCAGAAAGACAGAGAGAGACGGAGAGACAGAAAGTAAGAAATCACCCCCCCACCCCCAGGAGGGTAGATGGCTACGCTGCAATCCCTTCTCCTCCATTCTCCTCTTAGGATCTTGGGTATGTACACACACACGCCCTGCATGAGTTTAAGCCACCGTGTCCGGGACTTGAACTGTGGTTGATTACATGGGAGCCCAGCCACATAGCCATTATGCCAACTGCTTGTCCCAGATTTGAAGGTATTTTGAGTAGCCTGGTCAAGGTTGCACAGGTAGTAAGTATGTGCACATCCAAAAGTTTATCCCTCAAGTGACCCCAGACCAGGGCCACTAGCACTTGGGTGACTCCACGGGGCTCTTGTTTGCCTAGGGGCACCTGCCAGAGTTTACTCCAGTAGGGAGTATATGTCCCAGTCTCTTACCGAGATGACGGTCATCACTATATTGACCACGCCAGCACCCACTGTCACATACTGTGACTGGGTGGCCTCTACCCCAGCAGATGCGTAGATGGTGTCTGCGTAGTAGTTGATCTGGAACAAAAACACAGGACTGTGAGAAGAAGCCCAGAGACCCAAGCCACTAGCTTAACTGCCTTGATAAGCAACAGTCCTGAAAGTCTGGGTGGGGACCCCTGGACAGAAAGGATACAGCAGGTGGTGGGAAAAAAGCTGTGACCTGAAGGCAGGAGACCTAGGATGGAGCCCAGCTCTGCTCTAAAACCCAGGGCCATGGTGCTTCTCTTCTTCAAGCCTCGGTTTCTGCCTCAGGTCATCTATAAAATGGGAGCTGGGCCCAGTGGTGGTAGCACAGTTAGTAGGGCACTGCTGAGTGATCCTGGAGCCATGCAGGAGGCTCAGGCTTAGATCCTGGGTGGACCTGAACACAACAGTCACGCCCATGATCCTGGTCAGCTGGGGGGAGGACTGTGACATGGTGAGACTCTGTAGGGGGTGCTACCCTCTCAAAATAAATACATCAACTTAAAAGAAATGGGAGCTGGGCTTCATGACCTCTTACAGCCTTCTCCCTCTGTGGATTTGTTATTCTATGAGCTCGGGCCCTATAGGATGATTTCTCACCTCTAACTTTGGCCAAGATGGCCCCAAGTTGGCCTGTCTTCTGGCACAGGGATATTGGCACAAACAGCGCTTCTGAAAGCCACGTGTGGTTTTCCCTGTTCAGTAGACCCACCTGGGCTGTTTACCTCCCACTCTAAGACCACTGGTTAACTAAATCTCCATGAATTTTTTTTTTTAAGTTTCTTTTTTTCATTAGCAAGAGAGAGAGAGACAGAGAGACTGCGCTCCCCAAATTGCCTTGATGGTAAGATCCACTAGCGGCCTCTGCCAGCCCCAGATCGTGGGCATGCACACACCTGGAGTACTCAGAGAAGTCTTTGGAGATGAACCCGGAACCTTCCCCTGTGGGTCAGCCTCACGGAACGTTGTTTCACAGTCACCACCGTCAGCGCCACCACTCCCTCCATGAACCCTTGAAGACCCAAAGCCACTTCTTCCTGACATTGCCCTTGAGCATCAAGTGTTTATCCACCCAACTTCTGATGTTTCTGAAAGCTATCGCTTTTCCTGACCTCTGTCTTTCCCTCTATCCCATCCATAGATATAACAAAAGAACCATGCTCACAGGAAGTGATGCCATGTCACGCCGAGGGAGTCCCGGGTAGGCCCCTGACCCAGGCCAGACCAACCAATTGCCCTCCTCTGGAACCTGGACCTGGCACCTGGAGGTCCCTGGCTCAGATCAGTCTGGCTGTCCTCTTGTACCAAGGGCAGGGTACTGGTGGCAGGACACAGTTTCTCTTGGAGAAACAGAACAAAAATGTTCTGTAGCAGGAGCAAAGAGAGCAGGGAGGCAGAGCTGGGAGAGAGGGTACTTCTTAGGCTTCCTCCTGACTTTCTGTGCCTGCTTCTGGGCTGTTCCTGGGGTCCTGCTGCATCGCTGGCCTTCCACTGGTGGAGCCATCTGTTTCTGTAAGTTAAGTCCGGTTTTGTTTAAGCTCTTTCCGGTGGTGTCTTGCTCCTTGCTAACGCAACACTCCAGGAATAAAGCGTGACTGGTTGGCAAGAACCTGACTTGCCTCTCCAGCTTTTGGCTCTCGTTCCTCCTGAATGGCGAATGCAGAACGGAGCTTGCATGTGGAGACAGCACAAAGGCTGCTTACTATTCCTGAGAGTTCAGTGAACGTTTGGTGAGTTTGGTTAAATCAACACAGCCTTGAGGGTCCAGGGAGCGGTGCAGTGCTAATGCAACTGGGCCCATTGGGGAAAGGTCCTAGGGACGTTTCCTGGGACCTCCCTGAACAGTCCAGGAGCGAGCACAGGCTGGTACCTGTCTGAGACAGGGTGAACCCTTGAGCAAAGGCAGTTGGGAATGCCTCTCTCTCTCTCTCCCTCTTTTTTGGAAGAAATAACAAAATAAAAACCTTTTCTAGAAAAGGCCCATGAGGCCCTCTTTGCCACCCACATCGGGCCATACCGCGTTGATACCGGAGAGCTGCTGGCCGGCCATGAGCACGACGATGGAGATGAGCTGCCAGCGCAGGGCCCGGAAGGTGAGGAGGTTGAGCACTGACAGGCGGCCCTCGGCCTGCTCGGCCTGGCCCTCCACCCGCATGTCCTCCAGCTCTGCCTCCACGTCCCAGGCATGGCCTCGAAGCCTCCTCAGAGCTGCAGGAACAGAGTGGCCTGTCTCACTGCAGGCAGCTCCCCACACTCACCCACTCTGGCCTCAGGCTCACTGTCCCCCTCACTGGACCCCATCCAGGTCCCCCGTGCTGTGGCTGTGTCCCCAGTTGCCACCCACCACCTCACTCTCAACCCTGACCCACCACGGTTCTGACCTCAAATCAGTCAAGCCCCACACCTGAACTGCCGGCTGGACCCCCAAATGGGGAGGTGAGGAGCACAGGGGGACAGACCCTGGTGGAGCAGTCTGGTCTCAGTACCTTGCCGGGCTGTCACTTCATCTCCTTTCTGAATCAGAGTGTAGCGGGGGCTCTCAGGGAAGAAAGGCAAGGACAGGAGCTGAAGCAGCGCAGGGACCCCTGTGAGTGCCAAGAGCACAGGCCAACCTGGAAGAAGCCAATACCAAGAACTTAGACGGGACTGGCGGGGGTGGCTGGAGGTCTAGGCACCTCCCACTGGCTTTCCACCTTCCAGACTCTCTTCTCTTAGGTCACTTGCCATGGTGTCCCGGCCCTTGGTGAGAACCAAGGATTTTGGGGACCTAGTTCTTTCCAAGATGTGGCTGTCCAAGACCCACCCACAAAGGGGCTCCACATTAAAAATGGAGAAAATAATTACAATTGAAAAACGTATGTGCCACGAGTTCATTTTGCAGGATGAGCATTAGTTTTCTCAGGAATAGGATACAATTTAAATGCCTGAGCTCTAGAGAAAATGAAACTACATCTCGTTCCTAATTTTATGGTTGGAAAGGGCATAATTTTTACCTTATTAGAGGCTGGGGTTGGGGAGGGGCATGGACGCAGTGCTGCACCTGTGTGAGTTCCTTCCAGAAGGTTCCAGTTAGGAGGCCTTAGGTAGATTCAACTGAGAGAACACAGTCTGACCGCCCACTCACTCCAGCTACGATGTTGGATTGGCCAAGCTATTCAACCTCTCTGAGCCTCTGTTTTCTTATTGGTAAAATAGAGATGACAATAATAATATTTAAAAAAGGAGTGGTAGGAGCGAAGGAGCGAGTGAAGGGGTGAGCACCCGGGAAGCCTCACTTGGAGTCTTCCTCACAGTGGTAGCAGCTGGGCTTCCATTCAGACCCTCTTTGGGCGATTCTTCTCTGATTGGAAGGCCTAACACTCTCTACACTAGGGCCTTTGGGGGAGTCATGATCATTAACACTCTCTCACAAAGCAACCAGCTACTGGGTTCTGTCTCAAGGTATGATGGGAGATACAAAGACATGGATCAACCCATTAAGGAATGAGTGTGGAATTTGGGTCTTTTGAATATTTATTTTTAAGACACCCCACTGCTCCCAGGGCCTTTAATGCTTGCCTGCTGCCCACCTGACTTAGGGCTGAGTCACACTTTCCATTTTCCTTTCTCCTAAGCCACCATGGCCCCCTGCACGTCTCTCTCAGGCAATGACCTTGCTCCTATCTCACCGAGAAAATAGAAGCCACCAGAAGGAAACGTCTGCAGGGGTGAACCCCCTCACAGAATGTAACCGCAACTGTGTACCTGCTCACCACGCTGCTGGGTCCTTCCTGTGGCAGCCCGATATGCTGGTGAGCATATCAGAAGGAAAAAAACCTCTTCTGCCACCCTACACCCCTTTCCAGCTGTCCCCCAACTTCTCTCTTCCTCTCTATAGAGAAATTCCTAGGAGTTGTCTTCACTGCGGTCTCCGAGTCCCCTCCTCCCATCCCAAGCACAAACTTCCTGTTGCTCATCAAAACCGCCTTTGTCAAGATCATCCGTGCCCACCAGGCTGCTGATGGGGTTGAGGATGAAGAATCCCCAAAGTGGGACCAGCAGTTAGCGTAATGGCTATGTCGCTGGACTCCCATGTAGTTGACCGCAGTTCATGTCCCAGACCCGGCGGCTTAAAACTCATGCCAGGCGCGTGTGCGTGCGTGCCCAAGATCCAGAGAGGAGAACAGAGGAGAAGGGATTGCGGCATGGCCATCCCCCCTGGGGGGGGTGATTTCTCGCTTTCTATCTCTCTGTCTCTCTCTGTCTGGCAAGCGCACGCGCCCTATAGCAAAAACCTCTCCAAAAAAAAGAAAAAAAAAGAATCCCCAAAGTGCCAGATCAGTGTGTGGGTGATTCCACACCAGACTCACCTG